GCATGAACTCTTGAAATTTGGACCCTTTCACTTTCCAAGCCAGCTGCTATGGGGATTCCCTGTGTACTAGTCTGTCTCTTACCCTTCTCCATGTCTGCAACTCCCTTCCCACTACAGCAGACACAATCCATTTCTCTCCCAAGCTGTATCTCCAGACTTCCTAACTTCTTTGATGTGTCCTCTTCTCTACCTTTAGATGTGGAGTACACATCTTCAAATCGATTTCTGGGGTACTTAAGATGATTTGATAGTTATCTAGTTGTATTCATAGAACAAGGTGAGCCAAGGGTCCTCCTACTCTGCTGCCATCTTCCCCCACTCTATATTTTTGTTTTTTTGAGGAGCCTCCACATACTGTTTTCCACAGTGATTACATGAATTTACATACCCATCAACAGTGTATGAGGGTTTCCTCCTCTACATCCTTACCAACACTTATTATTTCTTGTCTTTTTGTTTTTAGCATCCAGCAGGTGCAAGATGATGATAGCTCATCGTGGTTTTGGTTTGCATTTTCTTGATGACGAGTGATGTTGGGCATCTTTTCATGTGTCTGTTGGCCATCTATATGTCTTCATTGGAAAAATGTCTATTCAGGTCCTCTGCCATTTTTTAATTGGATTACTTTTTGGTTCAGAGTTGTATAATTCTTTATATATATTGGATACTAACCTCTTATTGGGTATATTTGCAAATATCTTCTCCCATTCATTAGGTTGCCTTTTTGTTTTGTTAATGGTTTCCTTTGCTGTGCAAAAGCTATTTTGATGTAGTCCCAATAGTTTATTTTTGCTTTTTGTTTCCCTTGCCTTAGGGGACATCTAAAAAAAAAAAAAATGTTGCTATGGACAATGTCAGAGAAATTACTGCCTGTGTTCTCTTCTAGGATTTTTATGGATTCAGATCTCACATTTAGCCCTTTAATCCATTTTGAGTTTGTTTTTTTGTATGGTGTTAAAAGACTGTCCAGTTTCATTCTTTTGCATATAGCTGTCCAATTTTCCCAGCACCATTTGATGAAGAGACTGTCTTTTCCTCATTGTATATTCTTACGTTCTTTGTCATGGATTACTTGACTATATAAGTGTAGGTTTATTTCTGGTTTCTCTATTCTGTTTTATTGATACATGTATCTGTGCCAGTACCTTTCTATTTTGATTACTACAGCTTCATAGTCTATCTAGAAATGTGGAATTGTAATACTTCCAGCTGTATTTTTCTTTCTCAAGTTTGCTTTGGCTATTCAGGGTCTTTTGTGATATAATAAAAATATTAGGATTATCTGTTCTAGTTCTGTGAAAAATTTTGTTTGTATTTTGATAGGGATTGCATTAAATCTATAGATTGCTCTGGGTGGAATGGACATTTGAACAACATTTGTTCTTCCAATCTATGAACATGGAATATTTTTCCATTTGTTTATGTCATCTTGAATTTCTTTCATCAGTGTTTTATTGTTTTCAGACTACAGGTCTTTTGCCTGTTTGGTTAAGTTTATTCCCAGGTATTTTATTCTTTTAATATAATTGTAAATGGGATTGTTTTCTTAATTTCTTTTTCTGCTACTTTATTATTACTGTATAGAAATACTACTAACTTCATGGTATAAGTTCTTTTATTCTGCAACTTCACTGGATTCATTTATTACTTCTAGTAGTTTTTTAGTGGAGTCTTTAGGATTTTTTATGTATAGTATGTCATCTGAAAATACAGTTTAACTTCTTTACCAGTATGAATGCATCTTTGGTTTCTGATTTTTGGGTAATTGTGAATAAAGCTGCTATAATCCTTGGTGTACAGATGTTTGTCTGGGCATAAGTGTGAATACATACAATTATTAATGCTGGATCATATGCTAAGTGTATGTTTACCCTTATACAAAACAACCAAACTCTTTCATCATGGTTATGCTGTTGTACATTGCCATTAGCAGCATATGAGATTTTTTGGTGTTCTTTTTCTGGATCTTATTTCCATACAGCATACTGTTCTTCAGTAAAATTCCTGGAAATTTATCACTCCAGATTGCTTTCCTTATATTCAGTAATTGCTTTTTTCTCTCCAAAATCTCCAAATAGTATTCCATAAGTTTACAGAAACCTTTCATCATGTCTTTGACCTGTATCAATGCCCAAGAAATTATAGAATTATTATTCTGGTATTTGCCTTGGATACAAGAGTGAGTATAAGAACACATGAGACAGGGCATAAAGAAGGCAGACTGTGAAGTAAAGATAAGTAAACAAAGGCAACTTGGTATTGTGGTTGAAAAGGACAGGGAGAACTAATGAAGATATCTCTGGCTAGTACCTAGGAAGCAGTATGAAAGAGGCAAGGCAATTAGAAAAGTATGATCACTTTTTCCATTTTAATATTAGATTTTGTATGGAAATACTTTTGTTTCCATTTGTAAGGAGGTGCTGGGAAAGCCATAGATCAGTAGTTTCCAGATATCTACACTTAAGGTTAGGAGAAATTTACTACAAAGGGATAGCACAAGAGTATTTAGGAATGAAAGAAGTGTTGTATCATTACTTTTGTAGTGGATACGTGACTTGAGCCCTCATAGATCTGTTTCTTTTGTCTTTATTCTTCTGTTTTTCAGTTAAGTTGTCTATGTACCCTCATCACCTGGTTATTTTTTATTGAGTGCTAGACATTGTAAAGAAAAATTATGAAAGTAATCTGAAGCCTTGGGTGAATCTTCAGTGAAGATTTTAATACGCTTTGTGGCAAATAATCTTAAATTACTTTAGTCCAGATTTCTTGGTTGAGTTGATTCAAAGATGGTTCAGACTTCGGACCCTGCCCAGACTGGTCTACTGTTTCTCCCTTATTCCGTATTTTTGTAGCCCTCAGGGTTCCCAACTCTAAGTATGACTTTATAGAGGGCCCTGTTCTCTAGTTATTGCCCAAACCTTAAGAAATAGTCCAATACACCACTTAGTTTTTCCACGTCTCAGTTGTCTTTTCTTGAACTTGTAGGACCTCCATGAGTGGAAAAGTGGCCTAAAATGATTAGCTTATTTCTTTGAATTTTCATGGTTTTCAACTTTCAGCCCACCGACTCTTTATTACAATAGCAGTTCTCTAGTGCCTTCAGTCATGTGCCCATAATATCTTGTCCAATTTGTGTAATTGCTCTCATCAGGAAATTTGTTTTAAATTACCTAGTCTTCTGTTAGTAGAAATGGATATTTACGATATATGAACTGGTATTTAAATTGAGACCTGAAGGATGAGAAAAAGTCAGTATGTCATGCACAGTAGTCCAAAGACATCAAACAGGCTCTAGTTAGTTGTAAGTTGAAATTGGCTCTTTAGTTTTTTCAGAGCTCAAAGGAATCTAGTATGTTTGGCAAATAATGAGCAAAACTGAGAAGGCTCGTGGAGAGAAATCAGATAAGTTGGGACTGCACCATGGAGTGCTTTGTCAAAGTCATGGCAGGCATTTGGATTTTATTCTACGTTTAATTTGGAAGCTATTAAGTTTTAGGCAGAGATAGCAAATCATGATCTGAATCAGAATCAGTTTGTAGAAAGTATTAAAACTAGAGATCACCATGCTCTTTTTCTGATGCACTAGATTCAGATCAGTTAGTCTGGTGTGGTATCTGGGCATCTTTAATTTTATCAAAGTCCCCAGTGATTTTGACCCCCCCCCCCCCGCCCCAGTTTGAGAACCATTGGCTTAAAAATGTTTTCTCTCCCCTTACTTTCTCAGTAGCTTCTCTGGTGCTCTTTTTACATGTTAGTATGTAAGATCATTCTATGATAATATTTTTTTGAAACCCTAGGCAGGAATATATTACTGCATGCAGCATGAAATCAGTTTACTGGGTTTTGACTATCTGTGAGTGTGTGTGTGTGCATGTGTGAGTGAGAGGAGACTTGAATAGCATAGAAAAAATAAAACAGGGTAGATATTGTTTAATGAAACTGTATGGGCCAGGTTGTGATGTGAAAGGTAAGTAGGTATTAGTATAGGTCATAGTAAATATCTGAAAAGCACTGATGTAAGCCAGTTATTTCTTGTGAGTATTAGTTACCTATATCAGATCCTCAACTTAAAACTCCTGTCCCAATAATCCCATTGTGAGTTGAAAATTTTGTAAGTTTAATACACCTACCAAACATCAGAGCTTAGCCTATCCTACCTTAAACATGCTCATAACACTTACAAGTCTATAGTTCAGCAAAATTATCTAACATAAAGCCTATTTTATGATAAAGTGTTGAATACCTCATATAATTTTTTAAATACTATACTGAAACTGAAAAGCAGAATGGTTGTATGGGTACAGAATGGTTGTAAGTATATCAGTTGTTTACCCTCATAATCACGTGGCTGCCTGGGAGTTGTAACTTACTGCCACTGCCCAGGATCATGAGGGTATTGTACTGCATATTGCTAGCTCAGGAAATTATCAAAATTCAAAATTTGAAGTACAGTTTCTATATGTTGCTTTTTTATTTTTTTAAGATTTTATTTATTTGTCAGAAAGAGAGAGAGAGCACAAGCAGGGGGAGTGGGAGAGGGAGAAGCAGGCTGCCCGCTGAGCAAGGAGCCCGATGTGGGACTCGATCCCAGGAATCTGGGATCATGACCTGAGCTGAAGGCAGATGCTTAACTGACTGAGCCACCCAGGCGTCCCTGTATGTTGCTTTTGTACTATCATAAAATCAAAAAATTTTAAGTTGAACCATCATAAATTGGTTACCATCCATATCTATTTTCTTTTTTTTTTTTAAGATTTTATTTATTTATTCATAAGAGACAGAGAGAGTGAGAGGCAGAGGGAGAAGTAGGCTCCCCGCTGAGCAGGGAGCCCGATGCGGGACTCGATCCCAGTACCCTGGGATCATGACCTGAGCCGAAGGCAGACGCTCAACCATCTGAGCCACCAGGTGCTCCCATATATATTTTCATATATAGTCTTTTCTACTATGGGTTCTCCTGAAATGATAACAGGAATTTTTCATGTTCTCTTATCTTTCAGACTTGCCTTCAAGGAGTGTAAATAAGGATTTATCTCCAAAAAAGGACACTTATGAAACAGAATTATCCCAATGGGAAATGAGTGCCAGGCTTGAAAACTGTGACCTTGAGGAGTCCAGTTCCAGAGATTATTTGGAAGTCAGAGGCACATTGGAAAAGCAACAAGAAAATCAGGAGGAATATTTCAGGCAAGGGATGATCATATATGAAAAAATGTCCATTTTCAATCAGCATGCTTACTTATCTCAACATCCTAGGTGTCATTCTACTGAGAAACCCTATAAATGTAAGGAATGCGGGAAGGCTTTTAGACGAGCTTCACACCTAACTCAACATCATAGTATTCATACTGGTGAAAAACCCTATGAATGTAAGCAATGTGGGAAGGCCTTTAGTCGTGATTCACAGCTCATTCTTCATCAGAGACTTCATACTGGTGAGAAACCCTATGCATGCAAGGAATGTGGGAAGGCCTTTACTCAGAGCTCACAACTTATTTTACATCATAGAATTCATACTGGTGAAAAACCGTATAAATGTGAAGAATGTGGGAAGGCCTTTATTCGTAGCTCACAACTCACCCGACATCAAAAAGTCCATACTGGTGAGAAACCTTATGAATGTAAAGAATGTGGGAAGGCCTTTACTCAGAACTCACAACTTACTCTACACCAGAGACTTCATACTGGTGAGAAACTCTATGAATGTAAAGAATGTAGAAAGGTCTTTACTCAGCTCTCACAACTTATTCTGCATAAGAGAATTCACACTGGTGAAAAGCCTTATGAATGTAAGGAATGTGGGAAAGCTTTTATTTGTGGCTCACAGCTTTCTCAACATCAGAAAATTCACAATGGGGAAAAGCCATATGAATGTAAGGAATGTGGAAAGGCCTTTATTCGTGGCTCTTTGCTTATGCAACATCAGAGGATTCATACTGGTGAAAAGCCCTATAAATGTGAAGAATGTGGGAAAGCCTTTATCCGTGGCTCACAACTTACTCAACACCAGAGAATTCATACCAATGAGAAGCCCTATGAATGTAAGGAATGTGGAAAGACCTTTAGTCATGGCTCACAACTTACCCAACATCAGAGAATTCATACTGGTGAGAAACCCTATCAATGTAAGGAATGTGGAAAGGCTTTTAATCGTGGCTCACTCCTTACTCGACATCAAAGGATTCATACTGGTGAAAAACCCTATGAATGTAAAGAATGTGGAAAGACATTTAGTCGTGGCTCAGAACTTACTCAACATGAGAGGATTCACACCGGTGAGAAACCCTATGAATGTAAGGAATGTGGGAAGTCTTTTATTCGTGGCTCACAGCTTACTCAACATCAGAGAATTCATACTGGTGAGAAACCGTATGAATGTAAAGAATGTAGAATGGCCTTTACTCAGAGTTCACATCTTTCTCAACATCAGAGACTTCATACTGGTGAAAAACCATATGTATGTAATGAATGTGGGAAGGCCTTTGCTCGTGGCTTACTCCTCATACAGCATCAGAGAATTCATACAGGTGAGAAACCGTATCAGTGTAAGGAATGTGGGAAGGCCTTTATTCGTGGTTCACAACTTACTCAACATCAGCGAATTCACACTGGAGAAAAGCCTTATGAATGCAAGGAATGTGGGAAGGCCTTTAGTCATGGCTCTCAACTTACTTTACATCAGAGAATTCATACTGGTGAGAAGCCCTATGAATGCAAAGAATGCAGAAAAGCATTTACTCAGAGCTCACATCTTTCTCGACATCAGAGAGTTCATACTGGTGAGAAACCCTATCAATGTAAGGAATGCGGGAAGGCCTTTACTCGTGGTTCACAACTAACTCAACATCAGAGAATTCATATCAGTGAGAAATCTTTTGAATATAAGGAATGTGGGATAGACTTCAGTCATAGCTCACAAGTTTATATATGAATTATCTGATTCTTTGTGATTAAGATAGCCTTCTCTGGTCACTAATCCATTATTATCAAAGAATTCCTAAAATGTGAATATGGGAGCATATTTGCCTCGTAAAGTTCAGCATCAGTGAATTCTAATGGGGGAAGATAACTATTAATGTAATCTATGTAGAAAAACCTATCATTACTGGAAACCTCTTAAACTTTAGCATATTATAATAGAGAATAATTCTGTTAATATAGTAAATATATTGAGGCCTTTAGCTGTAGAATATGTCTTTTTCAACATTACCCTGTCTCTACCAGCTATTTTCCTCATGACATTTATCATAATTAACCTCTGCTTTGGTTTAATCATTTGTAAGATATGCCTAAGAATAATACCTTCCTTGTAAGATTCTTGGAAGTATTATGTGAGACATTTCATGTAAAGCTCTTAGAGCAGTGCCTTGAACATAGCATATCACAAGTATTAGCTATCATTATTACTAGTACGATTTTAGAGAATTTGCATGAGAAGAGGACACTTAGGAGTATAATGAATATTAAGAAATCTTTCATTAACACTTGACCCTGACTCTTTGAGTGAGGGGCACTGTATGCTGTAATGAATATGAGAAAGCTTTCATTCACATCTCATCCCATATACTAGAAGAGAAAATTCATACTGTTGGGGGAAAAAACCCACAAAACATTGTAGATTTAATCAGTGGTTTGTTGAAGAGAGGTAAAGTGAATTGTAACAAAGTCCAGAACTCATATGTCCTATCATTTTTTTTTTACCACAATTAAAGAATATTATTTAGAAATGAATAACAATGGATAGCCAAAATAAAATTTCCTACTAGGAAATTTCTAAAAACTTGAATGTACAGCTTTTGAATTAAACTAAAAATTAACCAACATTACTATTTTTCAGTGAAACATGGTGACAGTCTGTCCGGGACTGTTATTTCCCTACCCAATATCCATTTTTCCTTTAGAATTCTTGACTGAAAAATCATCTCAGCCCCTCTTGCAGTTCAACAAGATGGAAGTGGTATTTGTACATGTAGGACATTTAAGAATACCTTTTCTCTCTTTGTATTTCTTTGTTTCCCTACCTACAATGTGGACATTTAATTTGAGAATGGTTATCTGGGTACTAAGGATGATGGAGCAGAAATACAGAATGAGTTTACACCTGTACTGATTTATGGAACAGTTGTACCAATTCTGGTCTGCTTGCCTCCTGTATTTCTTTATATAAAATTAAAATAAACTTATTTGTTGATGTTGTTTTCATTCTGTTATTGACACTAAAATGTATTAAGGTTATAAAATTTTGTACCCAGAAGTGGAGTGCTGTGGGTAAAAGAAATCTCAAGTTTGGCATTGACTTTGTGCCATCATGAATGAGAATTAACCCACTTCAGGCTAGAAAACTAAAGATTTTTGCTTTCATAGGACATTTGGTCTGTCTCCCTTCCAGTCTATCTTACAAGGCAGATTCTTCACCAGTTAAGACTGTAATGTTAGTAGAAATGGTAGGAGTGATTCAGAATGTGTGTTGGGTGTTTCTTGTTGCTTTTGGTAATGTCCCGTGAAAGATAAATTTGGTATAGACTTAGCTGCAGAGGCTACTAGCAGAGACTGAAAGCGATATTGCTTTGTTAAGAGATGCTATCTCTCCCTACAGGCATTCAGTCCTGTACATTTGACAGTACATTTTTTAGGTGTTTGGGATATATCAATGAGCAACTCTAGCAGGAGGAGATAGAATAATAATAGAAAAATTACAGAGTATGTTAGAACATTAGTGTTATGGAGGAAAGGTCATTCAAAAGTAGCTAAGGAATATGAAAGTTTATGAAATGGACTGTAGATAAGGAAAGATTCAATTCAAGATTTGAAGATGTGAAGGAGTAAGTCAGTGGTTATCTACGGGAAGAGCACTGCAGACAGGAAAAGCTAGAACAAAGGCTCTACAATGGGATGATGCTGGTATACTTGAGAAACATCAAAGAAGCTATTGTAGAGGTCTGTGCAAGGGCGTTAAAATTGAGGAAGATGGAGAGATAATAGGGCCACATCTTGTAAGTCACTAAGCATTTTGTAATTTTTTCTGATGGAAATGGCAGCCACTGGAGTGTTTTGAGCAGGGGATGTGATTTGATAGGCTGCTATTGTGTTGTTAAAAGAAAAAACAAGTAAATGGGCAAGAGGCTATGGCCTCTTAATTCAGATGAAAGATGATGTTGGCTCACACCATGGTGGTAACAATGGGGAGAAGTTGTTCAATTCTAAATATAGGGTAAATGTGAGCAAGCAAGATTTGTTTAAGGGTTGGATATCAGGTGAGAGGGGGTTCTGGGGTGACTTTGACTCACAGGTTTTGGTCTCAAACAATTGGAAAGATGGTATTCCCATCAGCTGAGATGGGGAAAGCTGCAATTCCATCAGGTTTGTTGGGGAAGTTTGGGAGTTCAATTTTGAACATGTTGAATTTGAAGTATCTTTTAGACAAAATGATAATATTGATTAGGCACTTGGATGTTTTAGCTTGTACTGTTCTGGAGATTATATGAATTTGGTAGGTATTGCCTATACTTACATAAAACCAGAGGCAGAATAAGATCATTAAAGACCTGGGTATAGATAAAGACTGATCCACAGTGCCTTCTAACATTAAGAGTTCAAGGATAAAAGGACAGACTAGCAAAGGATGCTAAGAAGGACCAGTGGGATGGAAGGAAAAACAGAATAGTGTGGCATTACAGAAGCTGAATGAAAGTGACTCAAAGGATGATCAATGGTTGTAGATACCATTAGCAGATGACATAATACTAGAGAATACTTGAGAATTGACTTGAACTTATCCATGTTGTTGATCTTGAGAAGAGAAGGGGTATTTTTGTTTGTTTTGGAGTGGTTAAATTAAGAAACTGTTGAAAAATAGAAATTGGAGACAATGAATATAGACACAACTGCTTGGTGTTTGCTGCAAACTGAAGCAAAAAAACAAACAAAAAATAGTTAATTAGTGTGGCAACAGGAATTGGAGTGTCTCCAGGATGGGAGAAGTAATAGCAGTTCTGTATGCTGGTTGGAATAATACAGATGGGGGGAATAATTCATAACAAAGAAGTGAGAATTACTGGAGCAATGACCTTATGTCAGTGAGAGGGGATAGAATTTAGCAGATGGAGGGATCATTTTGGGTAATATGAAGAGTTTATTCCTGGCAATAGTATGGCAGAATATGGGGTGCTGGGAAGTAAGTAGATGAGGTGGGAGAAGTTTTGTGAAGTGTTCTGATTCCTTCAGTGATTCCATGAGTGTTAAGGTTAGCTGAAAATATGGGGGATGAGAAGTTTGCGGTCCAAAAGAAAAGATATGAAACATCACCAAAGTGAGATATTTAATGTGAAATATGATTGCCTAGCAACATTAAAGGGATAGAAAAAAGAAAGTACAAAGGGGCCAGTAAGCAAAAGAAATCAGGCTTAAAACTGTATTCACACAAGATCTCTGACATTGTAATTAAACAGTAGCAAATACTTTGAAAGCCTATTGAGTTTTTGAGGGAAATGTACTACTGTTAATGAAACCCAATCCTGGCCTGCAACAGTGTATGACTCAAATCCCCCAAACAGTTCCCAGGCTTTGGAACAAATCCATTAGGAAATGACCCACTTGTGTAATTTTTCCAAGGATATATATGAAATTGTATATTTCTAGCTATGTAAGCTACTAGCAGAGATTGAAAGTGATATATGTATATATAGAGACAGCGAGCGAGCTAGGATGTAGTTTCTCTTTTTTCATTTGCTTTTTAAAAATATATAAAAATTGTATATTTTAAAAACCTGCCTTGCTTTTTTCACTTACATATTTTGGCAATGATTCCAGTTGCTATTGCTGCATAACAACCACTCCAAACTTGGCTTAAGATACAATAATAGTTTATTTAGCTCACACATCTATAAGGATATGGACAAGGCTTGGCAGCAACTGCTCATCTCTAATTGACATAGCCTCAGGTGGGGTGGCTTGAAAGCTTGATGGCTGAAGGCTGGGATCATCTGAAGATTCACATGCTCACATGTCTGGCAGTTGATTCTGGCTGTCAACTGGACCTTAGATAGGGTGGTCAGCCAGAATACCTACATGTGATATCTCTGTGTGGCTGCTTAGCATGGTGTCTTGGGTTCCAAGAATATGCCCTAAACAACAAGGTCAAAGCGCATGTAATTTTTATGATCTAGCCTCAGAAATCACATAACCTCACTTGTGTCATAATTGGTTGAGGCAGTTACAGCTCTGTGAAAGAAGTGTCACATTTTAAGAAGAGCTTGTAGGATAGGATATACTGTGGCCTGTTTGGAAAATGCAATATGCCATAAAGATCTTCCATACCTAGCCTGGGAAGTTGCATAATCTCACTTCTGCCATTCTCTGTGTAGACAGCTACATCTTGATAGAGTGTCACGTTGTAAGTAGAGCATATGGGGTAGGATATACTTTGGTGGGCCTTTTTGGAAAATATATTCTGTCTCAGAGATCCTCTCCTACATGAAATTACCTCATTTTTATGGTGGCATATTGCTATAACTATATATTCTTTTAGTGATACACCATAATTTTGGCAGACTGCCAGAATTTTCAGTTTTTTCTTGGGTGCTTGGCTGCCTTGCTAGGTACCAAATTTCCCATTCTTCCTTGCCAATTGTGGCCCCATGGCTAAGTGAAACATTATCAGAAGTGATACATAATTTCCCTCTCATCTGCTCAAAAATTTCCATAAGAGTAGGCTGCCTGGGTGGCTGAGTCAGTTAAGCATCCAGCTCTTGATTTCGGCTCAGGTAATGATCTCAGAGTCGTGAGATTGAGCCTTGTGTTGAGCTCCATGCTCAGCAGAATCTGTCTAAGATTCTCTCTCTCCCTCTCCCTTTGCCCCTCCCCTCTTCTTTCAAATAAATAAATCTTTAAAAAAATTTCCATGTGAGTACAGAAATAACTCCCAATACATTATTAATTACAGTTAGTGTAAATAATGCAACTATGAAGGATATATTTTACTTCCAGTTCTGGACCAAGATGGAGTATAAAGAAATATGAAGCTATTGTAAAAGAGTAACTATAAGATATAAAAGAACTCTGAAAAGTACCTAAAGACTGAAGTTGAGTATCCAGGGAAGGATAAATTTTGAAGATGGGCCCCATCTCTAAACCTGGGGTTCAGATTTCATCATAGAAGGTATGGTTTCAGCCCCACTGAATGGTGGAGAATTTTGATGGGGTGCCAGGGCTAGAGCTAATCTATACTTGTTGAGCAAGCAGGAAACAAACCTTTGGGACACAAATGAGTTGCAATATTAATAGTAGGGGACTTTAACACACTTAGATCAATGGATAGATTGTCCAAACAGAAAATCAATGAGGAAACAGTGACTTTGAAAGACACATTGGACCAGGTGGATCTACAGATATATTCAGAACATTCCATCCTAAAACAGCAGAATACACATTCTTTTCAAGTACACAAGGAAAATTCTCCAGAAGAGATCACATATTAGGCCACAAAACAAGTCTCAACAAATTAAAAAAACATTGACATCATACCATGCATCTTTTCTGGCCACACCACTATGAAACTAGAAGTCAACCACAAGAAAAAATCTAGAAAGAGCACAAATACATGAAGGTTAAATAACATGCTACTAAACAATGAATGGGTCAACCAAGAAATTAAAGAGGAAATAAAAAATACATGGAGACAAGTGAAAATGAAAACAGCCCAAAATCTTTGAGATGCAGCAAAAGCTGTTCTAAGAGGGAAGGTTATAGCAATACACGCCTACCTCAAGAAGGAAGAAAAATCTCAAACAACCTAACCTTCCACCTAAAGGAGCTAGAAAAAGAACAAACAAAACTCAAACAGTAGAAGGAAGGAAATAATAAAGATTAGACCAGAAATAAATAGAAACTAAAACAATAGATCAATGAAACCAGGGCTTCAAACTAACACTAGTCCCTCCCATTGGTACATACCTTAGATCACAGCCCATAGCTTCACAAATAACTTCCTGATAGGACTTCCCCAAATGGCCCTTGTAATAAACAGTTTCCCCTGCTTCCCAGAGCCTTCCCCTTGTGTGGCCCTTCTATAAGACCCCCATGAAGCTTATATAAACCCCACTGTTTTTTATTTGAATTAACCAATCTGGCCTTAGCATTAGAATCCTAAAACACACTACCTACAGACCCTAATGAAAGCATGTGCCCTAGGTCCTGCTGCACTTTCTGTCTGCATTCTGCCTGGACCTACCTGCGTTGTCCCTGGAGGCATGCTGTGTACTTCCTCCCAGACCTGTGAGTAATAAA